TATATATATATATATATATATATCCCAAACATTGGAGTGGCAGAATCTCTGAGAAAAAAACGCTACTACTGCGTATTTTGAAACTGGCGAAATTTTAAAAAAAAGCAATAAAAACTACATCAATCATTAATGATTGACAATTTTAACTAAATGAATTGACTACAGAAGCAGGAGTCAAGCTTCTGTAGATTCAAAGTAGCCAATCAGTGATGAGTTCAAGAAAGTTTCCAAAGGGAAAGGCAGAGAATTGGTGCTGCAAAGGAAACATAGACCAATGAAAGCTTTGTGAGATGCTTTTACATTTTAATTACTGTATGAATTTCGTAATTTATCACATTCTTGCAAAATGAATTACAAGTTAGTATTTTAAATGACTATTTCAGTCTATTCACTGAAGCAATTACATCACAAGCAGAAAACAACTAAACTACCTGAACTAGCAGAAATTTGAGACAATACGATAGACTCCAACTTGAGGGTCCTTATCATATGTTTATGAATGATTCTGCAAAAGAAGAAATAAGTAATGTAAAAACTCAAACAAAAGAGGGAAAGTTGTGTAAGAGCGATGAATTGATTAATCTGGAATGCATTAATGATTGATTACGTACCTACTAAAATGTAAAATTTTGACTTCCGCCCTCACCCTTTCCTTTCCTTCGTTACCCATTTTCATCCATACCTACTTTTTCCATTTTTGCCTACTCGAAAATCAACCAAAAAATTAAAGTCGTATTCTCAGAAGCAACCCACAAATTCATCAGTTATGCTTTTCAGATGAACTCATCGGGATGCCAAAAAGTTTCAAGTATGACTGCAAACAGAGGAGACAGAATATAAGCAACCGAAAATAAGCACTTAAAATAAGTGAAGGAAATAAATATGCAACGCTCTGTGCACTAGCTAAGGAACAGCTCTACTATACTTGGTAAATAATTTTGATTTTAATTGAAGCAGTCGCACATAATTCTTAATGCTCTGATAAGAACAATTTTTTAATGATTTTGATCTTCTAATTACACCATCACACGACAAAAAAAGCTACAATCGCCAGTACTCTGAATTTATGCACAAAACAACGATTTTATTCATCAAATGATCCAAACATCATGCAGTCTAAACTGACCTGAAATTCATTACAGATGGGAGTGAAAAAACAGAATTAACTGAAATGATTCATACACAATAAATAATGACTGATTTTAACGGTGAGCAACCTTGGCAACATCATTACTGAGAATTTTAGAAACGTTTCGCTGTTGATTTCTATCTTCTAGAGATATATGTTACTGTTGATCAAACTCTCTGTCCTTCATCTCTTTCTCATTTTTAAAATTTCTTATTGATACTCCCAACTTCTCCTTTGCCATGCACGAATCTGTTGACCCATAAATGGAAGAAATCATTTCAGAAGAGGTTCTTAAACTACCATGATTAGATAAACAAATATATATGTATAAATTTCGGAAAGAATATTGTGTAAGAACTTTGATACACTTATTTCTTAGATATGCTTTATTGATAACATGAATAGCTCTAGCAGCATCATATCAAAAAACATATTGAAAACATTCAAATCAGTTCCAAAATGAACACAAATACATCAGTGTCTAAAAACATTACAAAAATTAAATCATGCAAAAGTTTACACCAACTCTATGTTCGAACGTTATCTGAATAATAATTTTAAAAGTACTGGAAAAACGGAGGTGTATACTAAGGTAATGTGTTATTGTTAAAGGTCATAGAATTGTTATTCAATTTAGCTGTTGCAAAGCTTTTATATTGTTATGGCATGCGTAAATTCCTTATATCTGACTTCTAATTTTGAATTAATAGCATCTTTAAATGAATATGATAAAAGTTATATTTTATTGAAAACTCGAACTGAATTAAATACGGTGTTAATATATTTATGAAAAAATGATCATTTCAACATTTTAAAAACGCATACATTTTATATTGCTTTCTTTCCATATACACTTGCATATCTATCATCCCATAGTCTATCACTGATCCGGAAAAAAGATACGCATTCACTCCACCCTTTCAGCTCAGCAACGCATGACAGATTTTTGGTATTGATAAAAGTTATTTTTGACTGACATACATAACAATTATGTACAATATAATATATTTGCAGATCTTGCGTGTACATTTTTTAATTCATTCATGTATTTCAATTTACAAAAGTGTGATAAATTTAAAATCACAAGAAAATATGTTCTTCAAAAGTCTCGTCTTTTGACTACTGCCAAAACTGCATGCATAGTTTTGAATTTGCAAATTTTAAAGTTTCCATTTTTCAAGTGCTCAAAAGGTAAAATTTACAAAGGGATTTATAAAGTAATCAACAAAAGATATCCATTTGATCATGGTACTGAAGAACAAGAAAGTAAAATGCAAAGAAGAAATCAAGGAAAATTAGAAAAACAAAGATTTTGTCAATTGCGTGATTTGCAGTGTGATGATAATGAAATAGAATTTGAAAGTATCAAATCATGATACTTTGAAGAGTTAATATATCTACTATTGATTTTTTTGCTTAATAGGTAGTAAGGGCTGAAAGAAGTTCTAATTAATTTGAATAATAGACAAAAGAAACTATTTAAGTTGTCACATGAATTAAAGTAGTTTTCAAAACATATTCATTTGAAAAACGTTAAAAAAACATGGAAGGTTGGGTTTTGATAAAAAATTGAAATTTTTAAAAGGTGTATTATTTAGTAATAAGTCTTTATTAAGAAAAAGAGTTGCTGGTGAAAAATGTTAAAGTGAAGGATAAAGTGGGACATTGTGTACTTGGAAAGAGTTTTTTTCGAATTTTAATTCGCAAATTTAAAACAATAGTGCCATTTGATCTTAACAATATATCTGTTGATGAATGTAATTTTCAAAGCATGCAAACTGAAAAGAAGCTTGCTGTTGTATATGGATAATGTTTTCAAAAATTTCTTGAAAATTTAGAATTTTACGACAATATTTTGATTTTGGAAAGAAGAAACAAATACCTGTGAATCAGAAAGTTCTTCAGAAACGCGTTCCCAGCCATTAGATAGCTGATCTGACTGATTGCTGGATTTTTCCGTGGTATTACTACCATTCCCACCGATACCATTTGTTGTACTGTTATTATGAGAATTTCGATCGTTGTTACTATTGTTTTTGTTGTTGCAAATGATTGCACTGGTACTGCTGTTAATTATCTCCATAACAGGTGAAGATAGAACAAAAGTAGAAAGAGAAATCAAAAGTAGTGAAGGAATTATCTGACTTCGAAGTTCGAGACAAAGTCTGTCGTTCACCTAAATAGTTTCAAACTGAAATAGAAATTATACAGCAGTGCAAAACTATTTGCGGTTATTATTAAATAGCAAATAAATTGTTGCGCAGGAAAAAATATGATATTTGTTCACAATATTGATGGCAAGTAAAAAAAACAATAATTAAGTACTGGCAGTAATTGAAATAAATTCTACGAGATTTCCCCATCATCAGTATTGCTTCATGAAATAATCATGATAATTTAGTAAAAGTTAACACACATGTACATTGACATGCATACATACATGTGTGAATGAGTGGAAGTGTATCTGAGAATCAAAACGTAAATGCAGTTTGAAAACTGTAAGAACAGAAGCAACAGATCTCCCTTTAGCTCTGTGTAATTTATTTTTGAGATAGATTCAGATATGAGAATCTAGAAAACTAAATAGTGATTAATTTTTGAAAACTAGAGAAATGATAAAAATTTTCTCACTCTTCCAGTTTTCAACTAAAATAAATTGAACAGCGCCTTTCTGTCAACAAAATATTGACGGAAAAATAAACCAAAGTAATGAGCAGAGAAATTAAACTTACACCGAGAAAACACCATCGGAATCATCAGTAACTAAAAGTTGCACATTTCTGAGCAACCTTCAAATAGGCTTTTATAACGTCTTGACACGATGATGTTGTTGTTAGGGTATGAGGAAGGGGTTTGCTTGTGGTAATGAACGATAACTCTTCATACCTGTTGCTCATAGTACTTCCTTGACAATGTATGATTGTGGTTGACGATATTTAGCAATGTCATTGATGCCACGTGGTACTGTTAATTAGTCCAAATGACACAAGAAATTTTGAAAAAAATCAAAAAACTTTCTCTTATTTGATTTTACTATTTTAGTAAAAAGACTGCAGCAAAAAACTGATGAGGCACTCATTTTAACTATTTATTTGATAAAGATAAAACAGTAACTTTACTGAGTACTTCAATAAATAAACCAAGTTACAAGAACAAACTAAACGACTTTTTTCATAATAATATGAAGACGATTCGTGTTTCATGCTCTTCAAGACTACTTTGCAGACTTTGATTTTATACATACTTTTGAATTCGGAGGTTGCTCAAGCTATGAAAAAATTAAACATGCAAAAAGAGGAATTTATAAACGTACTACTCATTCATCGCTCCTCACCCACTTTCTATAAATTTTCGAATTAAATGCTTGTCTTTTGCGGTTTAGGTAAACAACTGCGGGTAAAAAATCCTTTTAAAAAAATAAACTTGTTATAACAATTAAAAACAAGCCAAAAAAGTGTAGTTAAACAAGAATTGGGAATCAATAATAAATTAGAAATATCGTAATTTCATTAGTGGATTCCCTGCTTTTTCTCAATGTTACGTCCACAATGACTATTATTAGTATTTGCTGCTTTTCAATAATTTTTTCTCGTCGTACTTTTTACAATATTTTTGGCGCACTGAGTACATGGTAGTTCTGCTCTCTATTTAGCCAAAATTACCATACTTTTTTGTTCATTAAATAAATAAACAAATCTTTTAATTATATTCGACAGGAATATCGTACAAAGCTATTAAGTTTTTACGGTTATAGTAACATATTCAAATACTTGTGCTACTTACTTCCAAAATTCAATTATAACTAGCAATCATCTCAAAGCAAGTAAAAATCATGCAGTCATGTATATTACTACAATAATCGTTTATAATTGTGTAGTTTGAATTTTGGGGTTTCGTTTGATCTCTCCTGAATATGACCAAAGATGATTTCGAGATCTGGGTACTCTTTATATATCACGGTCAACATACCCTATCAATTTCTGCCTCCGTACACTAAAATATTGTTTCTTCTCTTGTCTTTCTTTTCATTTATTTCTCAAAAATCGAATAAAAACTGATGAGAAGACTTGAATAGTTTTCGTAATCGGTGTATTAACACTGCTCTAAGACTTAAACCAGAAAATTTTGATGCCATAAAAAATGAAAGGAAATTAGGATATAATTGTTGCCTCACATGCATATCTAAAGTAATGTCGCTGCACAGTAATCTACTATGACATCATAACATAGGAAACGCCGAAAGGAAAGAATATCAGTCACTGATTCCTGGTACTTTTAATATGACGTGCAGTAAAAAATCGAAATTATTATTTTTGCTCCATCTACTAGATAGATACACTTAATTATATCCGACTCACTTTCCCACTGTAATTACTATGTTTTACTTATAATGTTATTTTTTTATTACCTCTGGAGGTTGGAATTTTGGGTTTTTATTCGACTAAAAGAAGGAATGAAAATAAAAAGAAGAGTCTTACAATGAAGAAAAGTGTGAAAATGTTACCACTGTCATACAACCATAAAATTGGGAGCAGTCAGAAACGAAAAATTGACTCTGAATGATGAAAAAATTTTTCATTTCTGTAATTAAAAAACAGTGATAATTGCTAAAATACTGCCTCTATTTGCCCTTTCAATTTATATTGCGTATATTATGCAATTAGTAGTGAGAAAGATAGAATAAATCATGTAAGTAATTGAGAAAGTTCAAGTAATAATAGAGGCAATTACTAGAAAAATTACGTAATTAAAAGGACATAAATTAAGTGCAATTTCGAATGCAATACCTAATATGCGGTATTTTCCGGTTTTTTGCTAAAAACACACCGCCTCGGGGTATTTTTACTTCCACTTCTTGGTGAATTGTTTAAGGAGGTATTTGTTATGACATTTGTTTTTAACCAGTCCAAAAATTTTCTTCAAATATTCAGTAAATGGAAATAAACTGAACAACTATTTTTTAAAGGTTGCATCAGTCAGAAACTTGGAAAGTTTCGAGAAACATAGAAAAATGATGAAAAATCTAATCATCAGTGCACTGTTCACATCCCTCACAGCACACTATACGATAATTTTTGATTTTCAAACTTGATTTGGTTAATAAAAGTTTCGTTTCACTTGACTTTTCATAAAAGATTCCTAAAAAAACGGTTAAGAGAAGCTATTAAAGTGATCACTGTTTCTTCCCTAATATAGTATTGACTGTGGCGAAGTAGGAGATATAAGATATAGTTCCAATAATAAATAGTAATAAATTCGAGACCCAGTGATTGCAGACAGTTGAATTAACCAAAATTTACTTTTATTCTGTTGCAAATTACACTGTTTGAAGTAGCTGAAAGGTTTATAAAAATTTTAAATGAAAATTCAGAAACCAAAAATGATGAATGGATAGGGAACATTCTGAAGACTTAGTTTTTGACTTATGTAAACGACAAAAAGTGTTGGGAGCTGAGCTCCAAATCGGTGTTAGTTGAATCAGTCTGTGTATCTATTGATCAAAGAATTATGGAGAAACTGTGAGGAAACAGAGAAAAGGATAATTTTGGATTATGAGTTTAACAGGTCAACTAACTACCGGTACCAGGTACTACCGATATTGCTCATTTTTTTCTCACGCTAATGTAGAGCGATTGTATTGAAAATGGAGTTGTAATAACAATACGTATCAGACTAGGCATGATGTCAGTTTTTTACCTGTTGTGTGAAAAGTTCAACTCGCTCCACAGCATTCATTGCCACGACAATATTTTTCTTGTTGAAGTTCTGAGGTACCATAAGTTACTTTACGGCTCAGTATTCAGAGTAGAAAGCCAGAACACTCAGTAGTACTGCAGCTGCAGAAGAACATCACGCCAATCATCGGTTGAAAATCTTTTGCACAACTTAGCAGTGATTTGTTATTATCATTTACCATCTTACCACTTTTTGTCTTTGTCTGCTATCATTCAGTGATTTTTTCATTATTATCATGATTGTTTTATATTATAACAATTATTACTGAACAGAAAAATTGGTGCATAACAATGGCAGCATACTACTACTTTGTTACTTTGTTAGTAGGTGAAATTGGGCGCATAACAATGACAGCAAAACGGCGAGGGCGACAATGCGACATCGATAATGTCGGTGACAACGATCACGAGATAGAAGTTTGAGAAGGAGGACGAAAAGGGTGGGACCTGTACCTGCGGTAATGATCAAATAAAGGTAGGTAGGTAGGTAGGTCGGTCGGTCGCTAGGTACAATGAATGGGTTTGTCAATTAAGGAGGTGTCAAGTGGATGACCGTCAACGCCCGTCATCTGTGGCATCGATGTCATATGATATGCACATGGAAACATTGATCCCAATCAAGTTACACCATCTACTTCCTAATATGACCTTTATCACTCTCGATTTACTTGCTTACAAGCATACACTGGTAGTAACTGATGAAATATGTTACTTTTTATTTGGTTAGAATTTGAAAGAATACTGATAAAATGCCAGCGACCAATCAAGAAATCGTTATTCGCATTATAATGACAAGCTTAACAATTTACTTTAACATGAATGAAAAAATACTGCTGCGAATTTCCGAAAAATACCTTGCTTCACAAAGTCAGTGAATAACCATTGTGCATTAAAATCATTGTACAATGAACGAAGGAATACTTGAGTATAGGAAATCAATGCTCTTTTAGCAAATCATTTTATATCTGAATTGATGCGAAACTGAAGCATTTTGATATCCATCTAAATTTTTTTTTTCAGTTATTTGATAGATCGTGAATTATCAGGCAGGACTGATCCAAGGTGAGCTACAGTTTGAGAGAAATCTTCGGATCAAATTCGCAAAATGTACTGCAGATGACAAATATAAGTATATGAACTTGTTTGCTTGCAGTTTTTCACGTTTGATTTGCCGCTTTTTGAATTATCAAAAAATTGCATGAGTGTGACTATGTTTTCCCCATTTATTCCCCTTTTAGCAAGATCGATTGACTGATTTGCAGGACACTGAGTTTCTTAATATGAATTACAAATGAACAAATTAACCGAATATAAACGATTTTTAAGATGAGAAAGTTGATCCAAAAAGAAATGTCTTTTTTCATTTCGGTTTCCTTAATCCATTACTTTCTGATCAGATGATATTAATTTACGTTTTTGTGAGATTATTCTATAGCATTGTGAGTACTGTAAGTCGTTAATTAACCAGTAACTAGCACACTCCCTGGCGATGCTTGTGGATACCAATTTGAACATTTTTAACTGATTAATAATAAGATATCTCGAGTGAACTATCAAATTTTCTTTACAACTTTGTCAGGAATTTTCTTTCCACTTAATCATTCAATTTATCATATAGTTGATCGGTTCTCACAGCCCGACTTAAGTAGCTAAACCTATTTGAAGGATCGAACAGATAAATAAGACATCTGCTAACGACATTGTTCATTGAGACTTCCTAGAATAAAACTGCTAGAAACAGGAATTAAAATTGTCGTGGAAGCGATCAGTTCATAAAGAATCAGCAGTCTCATTCAACCATCACGAACTACAAGAAATACCGAACTTAAAAGGATTACTGTTTTTTTCATTTTCACTGAGCAGTCATTCTTTGAATGGAAAAAAAATCGCTAAAATTTGTTCAAATTCCTTCAGTTCAAACTGAATTGAATAGCGTCTTTCAAAAAACGCTAAACATTATCGTTAAGTACCTTCTAAATTTTTTTTGAAAAGTATTACGAATATCTTTAATGTTGTTTCTCTTCGCAATGTTACTTATATTATGCAGATATACATGATTTGGTTTTATTCAATGAGCAATGGCATGAGTAGTAGTAAGAACCTTATAACAATAATGAGTTTTTGCGGACGACCTTGATTGTTCTTTTTCTATTTTATTTTAAAAAATGTTGAGTATAAACACCATTTAATGGTAATAAAATTGATCAGTTTCCAGGGCCATGCCACTTCCTTCTAACAGAAAACAATACGAAGTACAGATGTAATTATGTCACTGAGTTAGTTATTTATGACTAATGATGACTAAGTTTTTGACTACATATCTATTTTATTTGCTCTTTCAATGCAACAAAGGAGTGTTTCTTACCGTGTATTAATGACACAGCATGGAAAAACATGTCATCCTTTAAGCTTTTTCATTTTAAGTAGAGAAACTGGTCAGGAAGAGAAAACAAACTACATTATCAAATGCTGCGGTAAGAGAACTGATATCGTTGGCAACTCTGCACACTGTAAACTTGCAGCATTTTTGGGAAAAAAAAAAAGATCATAAACACAGAAAAAGCTTCCCTATCTAAGTCTCCCTCTATACTTCTTTTCCCTTCTCATCTGAATCAAAAGGTCACCAACTAATTTTCGGGGATTGAAAGAAATAAGTTTGCGATTGAGAGAACGTTTACTGCATCCATCTTATCCCAAGCTTGATCATTATTAGGTTGCTGCTAATTCCATTATCACAATTTTTAATCTTAGCCACGGAAAGTTTTTGCCATCATTACTCATTGCGATCTGTCTGTTCCCATACCTATTTACCTATTATTATCTATCTAGATGCCCTTTTATCCATATATCTGGATATAGCATTCAAAAATCCACTCAGTGTGCTGATAGTTTGCAAAAAAAGAAATCAGGTAATACGTTTCATTATCTCAGTGGGGTGTATCTTACATCTTCTTCCTTTTCTTGAGAGATGAAAATGCTTATCTTGTCCCACCATCTTTTTAGCTACAGCCAATCGAATATGAAATCGATGAAGAAGCATTGTTTAGTCCAATTTTTCTGAAATTTCTCACCTTTGAAAAAATGTCAGTTCTTATCGACACAAAGGAAAGGGTTGCATCCATGATACATAGATGTAAATGATGATCGAGAGATTGCAGTATAACTGTGAGGAGGAGCCGCTCATGAGGATTTCGCGCAATTCCCACCCTTCAAATTTTTAAAATCTTTCGCTTCTAGCATCCATGCTTTTATAAATGATCATTTCGAATGCCTTTATCATAACAAAAGCCCGAAATTTTCACACATAAATGTTTCGCAGTACACTTCAACAACTATTATCTTCTCGATTAAGAGTTCTACCACATCCTTTTATAGAAAAGTGATCCGTAGAGTCGATTGCTATAAAAAATCTGAATATTTGCTGCTCACTATATTGCCAAAGAATTAACCACAAAATCTTTAATTCCAAACATTAATATTTGCCATGCGCAAATGGTAGATACATAGTTTTCGTTACTCAGTTAAAATATCTTTAAAAAACGACCTGAATTTGACGTTTTTAATTATCAGATTAATTGACGCTGATTTTTTCTTTTTTTTTGAAGTCTAAAGGATATTGTTGAGTATAGTACCTATCGTCTCTTATTCGTTGCGATACATTAATGGGAACTACCATCCAAATACAGATTGTATGCCCACTTACTCAGTTATATTATTCATGATTTAAAAGAAACTGAAAGGGCAGTGCAAATCAAACATAGTTCTGACTAGACTGGTTATCAAATTGAGCAATAAAAGGCTACTTATTTATGAACTTCACACTGGATTTTGTTCGAAGAATTTTTCCTTTCAGTGCAATAGATAAGTACTGATACCAACTAACTACATTGCCATTTGCTAGATGATGAAACTTTCGATAACCATCATTGATAAAAACTCGACAAGGTGCTGAGTATTACGCAAACACCAGCCTCGTTACCTACTCTCCAAAACTTCATTTCACTAGGAAGTAAAAAGTAACCTTATTATGAATTCCACATTACTGAGAAGGAAATATAGCAAGCGAGTTCATTCATTTAATAAAAATTCCAGTTTTTATAGTGACATATTGTAACCTGTGTTTGCAATGACGATGTAAAAGAATTGAGAAGCTTTTATGCAATGATTTTCAATGGTTGATCGAATGAAGTATAAGGTATATATATATATATATATATATATATATATATATATATAT